TGATGCGCGACAGATTATCCTAAAAGTTTTATCTTTTATGAAAGAAGAGAAACGTGTACAAGCCCCAATTATACCATTTGAAAAGCTGTATGAACGCGTTACTGCCGCGACAGGTTAGTATTGCCAGATATGGAAAATTAAAATCACCTAATAATGTACTTGTGAAACATAGTAAAAAAAATTCTCAATTTACTGTAATTCGTCTAAATTACCTAGCTTTGTAATTTGTGGTCTGTGAAGTAACTATAGTGACGGCATATACACGGGCTTATATTTATTTAATTTTACCTATACAATAATTATTTGTCGTTTCGTTACAGGTGTTTCTGAGCGATTTGTACACAAACTCGTAAATGAAGAGAAACACGCTGAAGAATCAAATTCTAAAATTTCTACCCCTGGCAAAAAAAGGCAAAGAAAAACCGGGAAACAAGAAGTTGATAATTTCGACATTGGTGTTATAAGAAGAAAAATTCACGAATTTTATTCAGTGAAAAAAGAAATTCCTACCATACCCAAATTACTGAGTATTTTAAAAGAAGATATTGATTTCAAAGCAGAACGTGAAACTCTTCGAAAATTGCTTCACAAAATAGGATTTAGTTATAAGAAAACAAAATCAAATAGAAAAGTGTTGTATGAACGTAACGACGTAGTTGCATGGAGAGCAACCTACCTACAAAAAATTAAAGAAAATGAGTGTGGTGAAAAAAGACCTATTATTTATTTAGACGAAACTTACATTCGTCTCACTCAACTGGGAAATGTTGGCAAGGTCCTGAAGAGGATGGCGATTTGGAACCTGCTTCGAAAGGTAATCGGTGGATCATAATCCATGCAGGTGGAGAAAAAGGTTTTGTGGAAAATGCACTTCTCGTATTTAAATCAAATACAAAGTATGGGGACTACCATGATGAAATGAATAGCACTAATTTCAAAAAATGGGTATATGAAAAATTACTACCTAATCTGCATGAACCTTCTCTCATTGTGATGGATAATGCGCCATACCATAGTATTTGCGTAAATAGGTATCCTAATTCAAACCACAGTAAGGCTGATATGCAGAAGTGGCTTGTAGAAAACAATGAGGATTTCAATGAACAAATGACAAAACCACAGCTTTATGAGTTAATAAAGAAAAATAAACCTGCTCCGGAATATGAAATTGATAACCTGATGAAAAGTTATGGCCATGTTATTCTTAGATTGCCGCCTTATCATTGCGACTTGAACGCAATTGAAATGATATGGAGCTCTATGAAAAGGAACATAGCAGACAAAAATGTTGGAAAATCTAATGTTCTAATGCCCCAATTAATTGAAGATGCATTCAATAAAATTACACCGGTGCAGTGGAAAAACATTTGTAATCATGTGAAAAAAATTGAAAATGAATACAGACTAAAAGACGCGTATTTAGATGAACCCTTTATTATAGAGTGTCAGAGCGATAGCGAAAGCGATTCCAGTGACTCAAAAGATGAATTATTGGAATCAGTAGCTAACGCGGGTACGCCTTTCAAAACAGAAATTCCTGGAGTTCGGCCGCTTGAACTCCGAGACCACGACCACAATTATTTTTATAAAATATAAATAATATATATAATAACACTAATTCTCACTAATTTTAATATATTAACACGAAATTTGTTTTATTTTATATTATGTGTACCTAATGAATATGTAGTCACCTATTTCCTCGGCGAATTTCTTAAATGGCAATAGTAAGCACTCCACTAGCGACTCTGTAAACTGAACAGATAAGTTGGTGGCACTATACGTATGCCTTTCTGTTAAATAATCTGATTTCTTAACATGACAGCTTACTAGGGTTGACAAAATTTTTGGCTTTGATAATTAATTATATTTTTACGGGGTATTTTGTGACACGTTGTATATATATATCCTCAAATATATTCCTCGAACAATAACATAAACAAATAAATACAAAAACTACATAATCACTTAATTTATCCTAATGATGTTCGAACGATTGAGACAAGTAATGCTCTTTAAGTCATTTTATGTTGATTAGGCAAAAAGTTTTTACTTATTTGGAACATGAATAAAATAAAACTACTAATTTTACTTTTTATAAGGGTAAGAAACGAGCATATAATCCACCTGATGGTAAGTGGTTGCTGTGGTATCCTTGATCAAAATGCAGATGCGTTGTCACCCCTGAGGACTAAGATCGAATGTCTTGTGAAATGGATCTCTAGTTCTCTACACTCACCAACGAAACACAGCATTAATTTGTTATTTTACGCTGGTATTTGCCTGGTTTAGCCGACTTATTCGTGATAAAACTATACTTTGTTAGTTACATATACAAAGTTACATGTAATTCGAGGTAAATCCTCGAATACATGTAACGTACAATCGATTACAAAAATTCTGGAAAATTTGCCAACATAGTAACGGTTTTGCTTTTGTTGGGATATTATCGTTGGTATCAAGTTAAACTTAACTTATCTAGTACCCCCACAACAAAAAATCGGCGGTAGTAAGGTCTGGGCTATTCAGTAAGTCCGGGAAACATGATTACTTGTACGGAAAATCAATTTATTTGGGAACATTTATTTGACCACTCGTAAACTGACATTCGATGTATGGTATTTATAAAATATTTTTTCCAACCTCCCTTAATCAAATATATAAGCTTCAACTAAAAATTATTAAATATATAGTTTGTCTAAACATTAGGGAAAGATTTCAAGGGATGACGTTTATTTATTTAAAGAAGACATTGAATGGGTATAATTATCTAGTTTGTAACAGATGACGACGAACTTTGCGTAATTTATGAATGTGTAAATACTGTTCTCAGGTGAGTGACATATATTTTTATTGAGAATAAAGTTCATTGTAAAATGTGACCCATTTATACACAGTTTTAATATAGTTTATTCAGAGAACAATTCTTTATTAAAAAAACTAACTGAAAAAAATTAAACTTCCTGTACCCATTTTATAATACCCGTGCTATTAACATCTACGGCAAACACTCAGCTACTTATTTATTTTCCCGATTAATAAACAACTTAACCTCTAATTTAAGTAATACCTAACATCACACGAGAATATATTAAAACAAAATTAAAATCTAACTTCCCACTTAACACTGATCTTGACACTTAGAAACTTACCAAGCATTTAGTAATTAAATTAATTACCTAAGTAATCAAAATTATAAGTTTGACCCGATTTTTGTAATATTACGTATATTTTATATTTCTTTATCAAGCCCATATGGAAATATCGATGTAGATGATAGCACTATTTATTAAACTCTATGTATTATAGATGCTATTATACTTATTCTTTTGATTTCAACTTCGAAATGGAATATAAATAAATAAATAAAATATGAATTAGCAGATTTGAGGAATGGAAGACAGCTAGAAAATTACCTGTTACTTACTAAAATAGAATACTTTGGCATTATATCCAATTCTGGATATAGAGATAACTTCTATTTCCAGAATTTGGATATAATATGTACGCTTATACGCCCTTGCCTAGAATTATTTGTATTTTTGTTTGTTTTATTGTTGTAATTGTATAGAATTAATATAAAAAACATTATGCTGTTTTATTAATTTTTAAATTAAGTACAGAGCCGTATTAAGTTTTAATCAATTTAAAATTGTTTTAGATACTTTAATAGTGTGTGTGTGCGTGCGTGTGCGTGTGCGTGTGCGTGTGCGTGTGCGTGTGCGTGTGCGTGTTCGTGTGCATGTGCGTGTGCGTGTGCGTGTGCGTGTGCGTGTGCGCGTGCGTGCGTGTGTGTGTGTGTGTTCTTTTTTTATAGAATAAAGGTGATTAACGAGCACACAGTCCACCTGCCAACCCATTCGTGCTGCAATCACAATATAGCTGCAGCATGGCTCTACCACGTTCAGCAGTGGACTTTTATAAACGGTTATGAATAAATTTTTTGTAATGAGTTAATTTAATGCATATATACTATACGTGGTAAAGTCATGCTGCAATTATATTGGTAGTATAGTTGTAGCACGCATGTGTCGGCTCGACCGGACTAGAAGGACCACGCTCTCAAAAAGTACCAGCTTAATAGTGAGTGTAGAGAACCGGAGACCCTTTTTACTGGAAACGAGGCATTCCATCTTAGTCCTCACGGGTGACAACGCATCTGCACGATGAAATGTCTATGGGCCACGGCAACCACTTACCATCAGGTGGACTGTGTGCTTGTTTGTCACCCTATCCTATATAAAAAAAGAATATACTCCCAGTTTTATTAATTATCTCTAAGACATATTAATTTTTTCACGATATTAGGGATGCATTTTTAAAAGCGATACTAGTAATGCTGCTCATTATTACCAGTCTGCAGTAATAGAACTCAATACGTTAGGATCGATTTCCTGATATCAGTCAACCGTTAGAGTCAGATCAGAACCTCGAATCTCAATCAGCAGGTGAACGTATGAGTGAGGTTGACATTTTGGAAAAGTTAAGTTTATTTTGAAAAGTTGGCATATTTCTCCTTTCTTTCTTCTACGTTTCCTTCTTCACAAGCATGTAGATATCTACTGCTTTTCAACCGACTTCAAAAAAGGAGGAGGTTCTCAATTTGACTGTATTTTTTATGTGTGTTTCCTCAAAACTTTTTTCTAGAAGAACCGATTTTGATGATTTATTTTTTGAAAGCCTTTTATGTGGTCTGAAATGAATTCGATCAATATCTGACTAGTAGTTTAATTGTGTTATGCTTCATAATGCGTATTTAATTGACTTCGACTACATTGATGATGTTCTCATTTTATTTATATTGAAGGTTCGGTTGTACAAAATGTTTAATTTTACCACTTGTTATGTAATAATATTACCAATAGTTTTGCAACAATGTATAATAACTATAGGCAACCAGGAAATGGAAAAATCATTTTAAATGAACAATGTTATTTTTTATTTCACACGCACACATATTTATCTTAATATTAAATGTAATTTAGGTGCCCACATTACAGAAAACTCTGCCATGGCTTCACCATCTGCTTCACGTAAACGCTGAACCTCAAAATGAAGAAATCTTTGCTGAACATTATGAATTGCCAGATGAAGAACTTGAGTTTAATGAAGAGTATGTATTTTTTTAATAATGTGAAAACATATTTATATTCCGTATGGTGGCAGCGTAAGAAAATCGTAATTGTGATTGTGGGAAATTCTATAAAATTTTCATTTCTGTTCAATAGATGGCATTATAATCAACTCGTTTATGCCAAACATAAAATACCCTGATCGGAGACAAAGTTGTTAGACTTTTGATATTTGGGATCACCAGCATTAGCAGGCTGATGGAAAATCGCACTTTCTGACATCTCATGAACCCTATCTTCCTCAATACATAATCCTTTTGGGAATGTTATTATGTGACATAATACAATATGGAGGTCATGAGATCTCTTTTTTATTTTCCGGAGTCACGTCCTACCACGCCACCAGACCACAAGCAATTTGAGGACACGTAAAGTCCACTAGATTGCTAACTTTTATTTAGATGTACATTTACATAACATTAAAAGTAGCATTCTGGACTCTTTCCTCTTTTAAAACTTTCTTTTGGCTATTAAGGGAAATTTCACCACATTAAGTCCCATCCACTTCCAAATTTAGCGCAGTAGCGCTGAATCGATTTCCTTGCCCTGGTAATGTTACATGTCTGTTCAGTTCAGTTCACGTCTGTATTATTTATTTTATGCTGACTAAATACAGTCTGTTATTCAACAGTTATAATAAATCAATTGAGATATCAATAGCTAAATTTCGACAAATAATTGGGTATTTATTGACACTGGCCAATTAAAATATTTTGTTAAGAGTTTTAAAAATGTGTAAATAGTTTAATGATATCATAGTTTTGTGGTCAAATTATCACATTATATAATTTATTATATATGGTATTTTTTACCCAATTAGTTTAGGAACTACGAGTGGACATACGAAAATAATACTATAATATATTTTAGCCAAAAATATTACCCTCTTTTCTGTCTCTGCCACCGTTGGGTAAAGTTTATGCATCTAATTAGATCAATTAATTTTTTTTGTAGAATGCCAAACGAGCACATAGTCCACCTGATGGCAAGTGAATGCACATGGATCAAAATACAGATGCTTCGCCACCTCTGAGAGATGGAATGCCTTGTTTCCAGTAAAAAGGGTCTCCGGTTCTCTACACTCACCATACGAATCACTGCAACATTTAATTGCTATTTTACTCTGATATTCTGTGAGAGCGTGGTCCTTACCTGGTCGAGCTGAACCATTCGTGCTACGACCATAATATAGCTGCAGCATGGCTCTACCGCGTATGGTCAAATCAAAAACAAAATTAACTAATAGTAAAGTAAAGTAAAGTTACAGCCTATAAACGTCCCACTGCTGGGCACAGGCCTCCCCTCATTTCTGAGAGGGTTTTGGGGCAAGGAAGTGTCCGCCGCGCTGTCCCTAATGCGTGTTGGCGAATTTCACGTCTTCGAAAGTTTTTTTTCTTATTTCTCAGACATGCAGGTTTCCTCACGATGTTTTACTTCATCGCCGATCACGTGGTAATAATTAAAATTGCAATTAACAATTTCATTGGTGCCGGCGGGGATCGAACCCGGGTTACTCGCGTTGTCTTATATTTACAGCGAGCGTTAACGATCTGAGCTACCACGGCTAATAGTAATAATAACTTATTAGACTCTCAGTTTCACAAATAACACTTATGTATACTCGTAGAACATATTTATTTACAAAATAATAGGCATTGTTTATTAAATGTTTGTATTTTTGCAGGGCTTCTCCATGGCACAGTTATCCTCCAGAACACTTCGAAGCTGCCTATAGATAATTTTAATATTGATACCTTATTTTGATATCTTGACTTATATTAATAATATACAATATGTTAAAAAGCAAGCCGTGTTGAACATTTAATTTTACACTTATTACTATTTAATTATTATTTTACTTTGTGACCACAACTTCGCATGTATGGGAATTACTAAATAATTGGTTATCCTATTCGGTGAATTCTCTGTAACTATTATTCCAAGTTTAAACAAAAACGTCTCAATAGACGCTTAAAGAAAACTTAATAATAGTAAACGTCAATAAAACACTTCAAAAAATTAATGTTCTTGTTTTGTAGATCAAGGTTGACAAAAGAGCATCCTTCAGGCAGGCCTATGTTCAACAGTTGACATCAAGGGACCTAATGATGATGATGATGATGATGATGATGATGTCTAAAAGTACTAGAAACGTGGCATTCCACCTTAGTCCTTAGGAGTGACAACGCATTAGCATTTTGATTCTTAATCTACGATAGATGAAAATGTTAATGGACCACAGCATCCATATACCCTCAGGTGAGCTGTGTGATGTTCTGTCACCTTTATTCTATAAAAAAACTGTAAAAAGCTTTGTGCCCTACAAAATCTTACTAAAATTTAATTATTTAACTGCATAAAACTTTAATACTTATACAAAAAAAAATATTTCAATTAGAAATTACATAACTAACTAAACTTTGAGTACTTCAATAAGCTGCCCGTTTCATTTAAGTTTTTGATTGGATAACGCTCTCTGAAATCTAAAATAAGTGAAAATGGTATAAGTATATCAAGACTAAAAGCCAAAGTGCGGTTAGACCCAGGATTAGTTGATTAAAACTAGGTGCAGTCAATTGTAGTTCGCCAAAATTAGGTAGGTGTATTCGATTTATTTATGGCCAAAACTAAGCATGGCCGGTTACCATCAGGTAAAGCTAGGTAATATTAAAGTCGGAATAATAATTAAGATGACGATAGTTGAACCTGTCACTGTAGTGACTATGTAAAAATAAACACTTTACTTGATCGCAGACGACATCGGAGATTGCAACAAAAACCCAGGCAATCTTTAATACCGTAACGATAAATCAACTGTGTGTGCATCTTTGCGATCGACGAGATAGGTACGCCACCTCCGTCATTCTCACATAAGAGCTGGTTCACATTAGGTCGGACCGACAGTTTGCCGTTCACCGACTGCCGGGTGTTGCTGTTCACACTAGACGCCGCCGACCCGAACTGTCGGTACGGTCGTTACGGTTACGGTGGCAGGCGGGTATCGCTGCCGCTTCGCGCCGACAAATGTGAACGGCGCCATACTTGCTAGTACGCCAATATTATGTCCGATCCGACAGAAATCGTGGCCAAACGTACGGTAAAAGTGTCGGCTCCGACAGTTTGGTCGGGTCACCCTAATGTGAACGGCGCTATTGACATACATACGCCAATATGGATCCGACACGTTTGTCGGGCCGGTAAAACTGTCGGTCCAAACTAATGTGAACCAGCTCTAATTATGCTGGTCTTTTGGTGGAAACTCAATTCCTTTAAAATATTTCGAATTCGCATATTGATGTCGTTTTGGTAGCCTTTTTTTAACCCACACTTTTCTACGTTTTTTTTATGTAGCTGCATTAAATTTACCGTCAAATAGACATAGAAAAGAAGCTCCTTTTCATTATAAAATATGGCACGTAATTAATTATTCGGATTTCTGTCTGTGACTGTCTGTCTGGTACTGATTGAAAGGGTCATGAAAGAAACTGATGGAAAAATTCGGGATGTGCAAGTGGGATTTAGAAAGGGAATGGGATGTACAGATCAAGTCTTTTCCATGCGCACGATCGCGGAGAAGTTTTTGGCCAAAAACCAAAAGATTTTTTGTGCGTTCATGGACTTGGAAAAGGCCTATGACAGAGTGAATAGGGGTGTGCTATGGCAAACACTGAACTTATTTGGGTTGAGCGCTGGCTTGATACAGGCATTGGAGTCTCTTTATAGGGACTCTAGTGCTTGTGTTAGGATCAACGGGGTCTACTCGGACTGGTTTGACATCCATAAAGGTGTCAGACAGGGCTGTGTGGCTTCCCCGTGGCTGTTCAACCTATTTTTGGATAGTTGTTTGCAAAATTTGAAAGTTGAAGAATGCGGTTTAAGAATGGGTGAGTTAACCGTCAAATGCCTTTTGTACGCCGATGATCAAGTTATCCTTGCGTCGTCGGCGGCCGAGTTGCAAATGATGGTTACATTAATGAACAGATCATTAAAAGAAAGGGGTATGAAAGTGAACGCAAGTAAGACGAAGGTTATGGTTTTTGAAAGAGAAGAAAGTAAAACGATTTGTGAAATAAGAATAGAAGGGGAGTTGATCGAGCAAGTAAATGAGTTTGTATATATGGGCTGCGTATTTAGCAGGGATGGGAGATGTGATAAGGATAAAGAACAACGAGTGAATGCGGGAAATAGAGTAAATGGGGCCCTGCACTCTATTGTGAAGAGTCAAAATATGTCAAAAAAGGCACGTATGGCAATTCACAATGCTGTGTTGGTCCCTATTTTAACGTATGGTAGTGAAAGTTGGGTGTGGCAGAAGAAGCACGAGAGTAGAATCAACGCAGTGGAAATGCGGTCGTTAAGGAGTATGTTAGGGCTGAATCTGAACGACAGGGTAAGAAATTGTGTAATAAGAGAGAGTGTGGTTTGCAAGATAATGTTGTGACCAGGATTAAGAAAGGAATGCTTCGGTGGTTTGGTCATGTGGAAAGAAGGAATGAGGAAAGAGTGACAAAGAAAATTTATGTTGCAGAAGTGAATGGCAGAGTCGGAAAGGGACGTCCTAGGCGAAAATTTATCGACCAAATTGGCGATTTATTAAAAACGGGCCAAATTAGGATTACCCTTAACCGACTAGCATGTATACGTAGGTGTATGGATGTGAAGAAGGCGAGAGAGGTGTGTCAGGATCGTGCCAAATGGAAGTCTGTAGTCTCTGCCTACCCCTCTGGGTGACAGGCGTGAGTGTTTATGTGTGTATGTATGTGTTCTGTCTGTGATAGCACGTCTTTTCGTTATGTTTTAAACAAGTAAATGATCGATCGCAGTGACCAATCGTTTCGTGTGTAAACGGTAAGCTTCGAGCGATCTATCGTCACGATATCCTCTCAGATTGATCTTGATTACGGATCGTACCGTACATAGGGCCCATAAGGGTTGGCTAAACTTAAGTATATTCGATTTTTATTCATATTATTGTGTTTTAGTCATAATATACTAATATACCCATTTTCCTTAATATGACCAGGAGCAGTGTATATTAATAAACATTAAAGTAATAGTTATAAAAGAAAATATAATTTAATGGGGTATTAATTATACATTATAAAAGTAATTCAGTTATTTAGGGATTTCAATAATACTTCTGTTTCATCATAATCTAGTTTTTGAAGCTATTTGAATAGGATTTTTTCTTATATATTATCTTATATTCTTAAGAATGGACCAAGAAAACAAAAATATTAATGTGTGTATGAATGTTTAAAGGTATGGCACACTTTGTCCGATCTTCTCTTTATTAATTGAGATGAGGTAAAATTTAGTAACCCGTGTTGTTTTAAAATCGTCTGATAAGTGAATAATTGTCAGACTGTTAACTTGTACTTGGCAGTGTTTATATAGCTCATAATGGATAGAGATAGAAAAGTACAAACCTTTAAAACAGCTTTCTGAGCTCTTTCCAGTGGAGCTAATGTAGTTTTTGGGGCTCCGTCCCATATTGTTACACCGTAAGTTGTAATGGATTGACACAAAGCAGTGTATATTTGTTTCACTAGTTCGGGTTTAGCTACATGCCTCAGATTTTTAAGGACATAAATAAGTTTTCGAACTTGGGACGTTAAAACTTTTAAATGATCTTTAAAATTCAATTGATTATCAATATGAATAATTAAATACTTAACACATTTGGTTTTGGATAAAGATGGGCAGGTACACGGTAATCCTAAAAGTTTCGTTAAATTTAAACAAATGTGAGCAGTTAACGTATAGTTGAGAGTTGACAAACGAGCATACTGTCCACCTGATGGTAAGTGGATGCTGAGGCTTATAGACGTCTACTACAGTTATCCTCGATTAATCCCTGCCGGCACCAACGAAAAATTCTTAATTGCAATTTTAAGTGGTGATTTACCACGTGCTCGGCTTTAAAGGAAAATATGGTGAGGAAACCTGCATAAGTGAGAAATAACAAAAGAAAATATTTCGAAGACATGTTGTGAAGTTTGCTAACACGCATTGCGGCAGTGCGGTGGACACTTCCTTGCCCCAAAAACTCTCTCAGAAATGTGGGGAGACCTGTGCCCGGCAGTGGGACGTATATAGGCTGTAACTTTAACTAAAACAATGATGATATTTATTTACAAACTCCTCACACAACGCGACGGTGGAATAGTATTTTTATACTCGTATCGGTGCAATGGACCGACGATTGGAAAAAATCTTTATCGGATTGTGTGGGATCAATAATGCAGTGTCTTTAAAATTACCTGCATGAAATTTTACAGATATAATATGTTTAAAAGAAGAAAGGGCATGTCAAGTATATTGCTATTGTATCCGACAAATATAATAACAAATAATATATAAATTATAACATAAATGAATAATAACGATGAAAATAAACTTATAAATAAGATATCTTAAAAAGTAAAATATATGCGAAAACCGACAGGTTCTAAAATAAAAATATTTTGTGGTCTGCTAACTAAAATTTCGAGTGGATTGGGCCACTCGAAATTTTAGTTGAGGTTTTTAACTAAGAGTTTAAATTGTTTGAAAATTGTTTGAAATTGTTTGAAAAACGCTACCCCTACGAACTACTACTAAGATTTTATCTTGTATCATAGGGGCAGTTTACAAACATAAATTGCACAAGGAAAAACATCCAGACCCGGAACAACTATTTGTAGGCCATACAAATATTTGTTTCGTGCGGGATTCGAACCCGCTACCCTTAGCGAAG